CATGACATAGATGCAAAAATATATACCATACTTATCACAACATCTGGAGCGTCCTAGGCCTCCTGCTGAGTCAAACTATATACACATGGATGAATTGGAGCTAGAGCTACGAACTACTATGCTCTCTCTGACTACTGCCAGATGGTCTCCTTGCCATTAAACCTGAACCACTAACTCTACTAGATGATCCTTCAAAAAAAGTATGAGGAGGAATTTCCCTCGGCCTCCCTACTGGTCTGACAAAGTTCTCTATTCTGGACTCAGATCATCGGTCAAATCCAGCTTATGAACACTTCGTTACACGATGTCCCATTTGACCGCATTTGAAACACTGTCCAGTCATCCTATAGTATTGAGAAAAATGATGTCGACCATAATTCTAACACACAGGTGCCCCACTAATAGAATCATAACTGGTTATAGTGCCATTATCAGAAACTATTACAGATACTGACTGTCCACTTATCTTAAAATCTTCAGATGTAAATCTACTCTTTTTTCCAAAAAAGCCACTACTAGAAGTCTCACCATTAAACCTATTCATACTAGTCGTCTACCACTGCTGAGTAGCCGTCAATTCATTCTCTATCAGATAAGCTCTCTCCACAAGCTCAAAGAAATTGAAAATGTAAAATGGCACAGAGATTGTCCCAAGCTATCTTGAAGGCCTCTCAGAAATCTGTTACACTTCTCCGTAGGAGTACTAACCAACTATGGGGCATATCTAGCCAAAGCAGTGAACTCTGCCTTGTACTGCATAATTGTCTTGCTCCCTTGAACTAACCAACCTCAGAAAAGTCTATTACATTTGTTGTCATACAGAAGGGGGTACAAACCAAGCTCTAAACACCTTAGAGAACTCCTCCCAAGTAATCAAAGAGTTCAATCTCCCTTGAAATTTCTCCTCCTGTTGGCCCATCCACTAGTGCTCTGCCTCACCATCTAATAGAAAGACTGCTAATTGTACCTTTCTATCAAGATGACATTACATACCATAAAATGTCTTTTCTAGCCTCCTCAACTAGTCCTCTGCTGCTCCGGGCTCAACAGTGCCCTCAAATCTCAGATGATTCAGTTGCAAAAACATCTATAGATGTCTATCTACATCTTCAGATTTAATAACAAAAACCCTATTTGTGCCTCACCCATCATTTGAGCTATTAATATAGCAAACTGTGAAACTGTATCTAAATAAACTGTTGGAGCATAACTATTTATAGGAGCTGTATGACTAGCACTCTGTCCATCAGTCATGTCTGAGTCTGGTGGATCCATAATCACACAGAGTATGTAACTATACACACATGCACGTAAAACAAACATTATGAACACTTAGACGGACTTGAAACTACCCCACCAGACTTATAGATAAATTCATATAGCTCTGCTTTACAATTCAATTCCAAAACTATTACTCTGATACCACTCTAAGTGCTTGTCATTCCCCAACCCGACCAAGACATGTCCTATCGTGTTGAGCAGTGACATAGCTACTAATAATATCCAAGTACTAAAAAACGCATCCATAAAGTCTCTTTCATTCATCAAAATAATTATATACACTATAGTCCATGGCTACAAACAAGAGTTACAGAACTAAAAAGTAAACTAGTCATGACTGTACAAAAATCAAAATAATAAAATACCTATAACCTCAGATTTGATCATGAACAGCTAGTCCAAAACCTCTTTCCCTTTACAAGATCCTGAAAACTATGAGTAAACTTTAGTGAACTATAACAGCTCAGCAAGTCACACGAGCCAATCTAAATTTTCAAACATTCTTTTATTTTAAATATTTTATGGAAGATTTAAAAGAAGTTAATTGCAGTTTAAATAATTCACTAAATTAAGAATCACAAAATAGAACAATATAATAAATACATAACAAATATTCTATGATTTAGATAACCGTATAGAATAGATGAATCAGATAACAATACAGAACAAATGAATCATATAACAATACAGAATAGATAAATCAGATAACAATACAAAATAAATGAGTAAAGGCAAATTCATATCACAGAGTTATTCAGATCACATTTCTCGGACTCTGATAGAATCTCAAAAAATTCTGGCCCCTTATAACTCCCTTTTTATTTGTGCTTACAATAATAGAACATATCAGATTCAGATCACATTTTCCCAGACCCAGATATAATATCAAAGGATGCTGGTCCCTTATAACTCCCAAAAATTCTCTAACATAAACAGAATCTCAAAGGATTTTAGCCCCTTATAACTCCCAAAAATTCCCTGACACAGACAGAATCTCAAAGGATCTGGCCCCTTATAACTCCCAATATATATCATTTAATCACATGTGCACATATATCATCACATTATAATAATTACAGAGTAATTGAGCATGTATCAAAATATCACAATATTGTATAATGGCATATAACAGAAAATCTAACGAGAAAAAAATGCACAATTTAAAAATATTACCAGATTACTAGGGATTGTGTAAAACAATATTTTAAGACTTTCATTGTACTATAGTACTATTTTTCAACATCCAGATAATTTTTTATTCAATAAAAACCCCTCAGATTTTTGAATACCCGAAGAAAAATTTTCAGAAAATACTCAAAATGTGCATAATCATAATCTCTATGACATATAAAAAGTTATGAGGTGAAAGTTTTACCGGTGTAAAGTTATCCCCATTTTTCGCTAACAGATACAAAATTTTAATCATAATATTAGCCAAAACTTTCACATTTTGAAAATTGAGATAGACATAACGTGTCTTACCTCAAGTCGAACAACTTTTCCAACTGCGTCGACGGACGAAAATTGCCCGAAGTTGCCCAAAAATTCGGATTTTCTCTCTCTTCCTTTCTCTTTTTCTCTCCTTCTCTCTCTCTCTCTCCGATTCCTCTAAACCATGAAAATGAATAAATAATGGGCTTAGATATTTTTGATCGTACGGACAATATTTATGTTCGTACCAGGATAAATGCCTCTATTCAGTTCTCGGATAATGAACGTACAGACGATAATTAATTTAGTATAGGGACGAACGCCTCTATTCTGTCCTCGGATGACGATCGTAGAAACGATATTTAATTTCATACAGGAAGGAATGCCTATGTTCAAATAACATTCATTCGTCCAGACAATTCGTATAGACGAAATAAAAAATTCTAACTGTTCGTCCTAGACGAACTCAGTTCGTACTTGTCGAACTTCTCAAAGTTAACAAAAAATTTCTTTAAAGTTTAAGGGTTTCACAGTCTTCTTCTTATATTCCTAAGGTTCTTTTTATATTATGTAATTTACTATTAATAAGGCGACATAAAAAATGGGTATTAGCACTAGAAATAATAGAAATAGTAAGATTTAAGTGGAAATGCAAAAATAATGGTAAGTGGTGCTGCAGTCTTCATGTACGCTGCATCAAATATGGGTGGGGAATTCAATTTATATTATTAGAGAATGGATTTGCTGAGGAACATGAGCGGGCTTTGGAGTTTGGAAGGTTTGGATGATAATGTAGTCATTTAGTAGGAGGTTTGCTTCTTCCTCAGTTACTCCCTGGAGGGAATAAAAAATTTGCACATAAATTAGCCCATTGTTATCAAATCTCCAATCTTAGGGGCATCAATTGAAATATGCTAAAAAAAAAGTCCATGTGTACTTGCCTATCCTTTAGATCCTCAAATAAATTGGAGAGTTATTTGGCAGAATAACATAAATTTTTATTGATCCATCAAAGGGAATGAGATATTGAGTCAAGGTTCTCTATGACATTTATTTAAGTGTGCTCCAGGAACCAAATATGCATAAAATAAAATGTAATATTAGCTAATGAATTCATAAAATGAATTAATAATTAGAAAGATACTTAGATGCTCTTTGTACTTACAATTAACAAAGGTACAAAACTATTCATATAACCTAGTAGGCTCTATAGTGGGCTCTCCTTAGCAAACATCTTGGACACCTCATTAAAATTAGAAACTAAAAAATTCCTTATGGTCCATGCCTAGTTAAAAGATGAGAACTCATCTATGTTATTTGCAATAGTAATTAGCCTTCTTAGGGTTTTATAGTTATTAAGAGGAAAAAATAAATTTGATAATAAAAATATGATAACTTTCTTTAATATAATAGATGGGTCAGTTGATTTGTTGATATTCTCATCTCATTCTTAATATCGATTGATTTGTGTAATGAAAGTTGTTCACTTTCCCAGATATTATCAGCACATTTATTTGGCAATCCTGTAAGCATAGCCACTTCATTTGAAGTGAATCATAGCTCATGACCATTGATGATAAAGCATTGATGAGGAATATCCTATAATGAGAGTAGCTTGTGTATGAGGGGAACATTCTGCTGAAATAGTGGGAACTTTAAAAATTGATATATGTTTAATCTCTTTAAGGTGTCCTAAACATCCTTATCTAACATCTCGATGAATGAGTCAAATATAGTTGATACACATGCGATACATATTTAAAATCCATATAATAAGTAATCTTTGGAACATACATCTATAAACATTACTGAAAAATCATAATTTAAAATCCAAATTAAAATGACAAACACAGTTAATACACAATCAATATAAAGATAATATACGATCAATACATAATTAATATGCAGTAACTATACAATAGATAGACAATCAATATACAAATCAATATATAGTCAATACATGCGATATATAGTCAATACACAATTAATACACAATCAATACACAATTAATACGAGTTAACACAGTGCCTGAATGCTAATGAATAATGAACGATTTATAGTGCCGAAGATGAAAAGTGAATAGTGAACCCACTCCAATGATGAAGATGAAAAGTGAGCCGACTCCGTAACTTTTGATGGGCCTCAAATTCAAATTTTCATCTCTGGACCATGCAGAATCCGGCGGGCACACAAGAGAAAAATAAAATAATAAATTTATGTTAAACATCCGTATGTCAAATTCATATATCACGATTTTATTGAAATCCCTACATTGAGCCGGTCATGAATTTTATAAGGATTATCGGCGCAGGTTGCTTTTTAAAAAACAATTACTGCGCAGTATAGTTTTGAAGACGAAGAAGCTTTGCCATTTGCCTGGTGAAACTTTCTTTTCATTTTTTTATCCTCTTTTGCTCTAAAGTTTGGATCGCAGGAGTGATAGGACGAAGGAGAAATGACAAAGAAGAAGTCAGCAGAAACGGGGAAGGGGTTCATATATATCTGTTTCTCTGCCTTCACAATTTCTGTTGAACTGGATCCGCTCAAAATCGTGCATATTTCTTTTGTTTCGGAGTAATGACCTCCTCTCCTCCTTTTCGGTTCATCTCTTTTCTCCAACTCCTCTTCTTTGGCTATCAATTGCTGCTAATTTCTAATTCAATGCAATCTTTTCCGGTTTTGTTTATTTCGGTGTCGATGTAATGCGGTCTTATGTTTCCTCTCTTTTTTGTTTGGGTGTCTGTTGGATTTTGGTTTTATGGCAATGCTTATTTTTACTTAATGGGAGAACTTGTCCTAATTCTTGAACTAATAATGTGTTTATTTATTGCACCTGCTTATAGAAATGTGCCCCATTTGTGATGCAGGAGTTTAGTTACACGCTCTTATTCGGAGAAATGGATGCAGGAAAACGAAAGCCTCAACTTTTGTGATGTTTCTTTGTCAAAGGTATTTGCGAGAGGTCGTAGTGCTTAGTATAAAATTAATCCAACATGTCTAATAATGGAAATACGAGGTTGGTCTATGCGCCTGTCTGATATAGGAGAACTCTTTTCCGACAGCTGAATGTGCAAGTATGGAGCGATCTTCTTTCAGTTCCAGCGATGGAAAAAGAAAGCCTTTGCAGCGTTCTGCATCCAGTGAAACTGGAGATGGACATGAAAATGACCTTTCGTACTCTGTTCCCCCGTATGTCTTAAGCAACCTTTCACAATTTCCCAAAGAATTTACTTGTAATTGAAAATTCTGAACATGATATCTTTGAGGTTGTAGTTTTCTATAAATTTTCTTGTAAGATTTTCTTTGTTGATTGAAGTTAGAAACCATATATGAAAAATGATATATTTCAATATTTTGTTGGATTTAATTTGAAGTCAATATTGAGTTTTAAATTGTTAACAATTTTAAATCCTTAAAATGTGAGGATTTCATTTGCACACTCAAAATAAGTGCAAACAAAATGATCATTTTATAAAACTTATATTCTATCTACAAGCAACCAAATGAGCTCTTATATTTTATGAAATGCATCAAGCTGATTCATGTTGTGCATGTAGTTATTTTTTTATTTTTTAATTTTTAGGAATTTAGGGAAACAAAAATTAGGCATATGTAAAACCAAACTACAAGTTAAATTCCCATCTTAACCTATTCACACGTCTCTCTCTTTCTCTTCATCTCTCCCTCTTTTTCTCTATCTTGCACTATGATTGCAAGTGTGTTCAAGCTTTCCTTTGTTTGTTCCTTAGGTTCTTAGGCATAATATGCTAACATAGGAATGCCACTAAATGATTCAATAAGTACTATACAACAACAACAACAACAACATCATGCCTTTATCCCATTATGTGGGGTCTGCTATATGAATCATTTTTTTCCATTATATCCTGTTAAGAGTCAAATTTTCATTTAAATCTAATAAAGAAAGGTCATTTCTAATATTTTCTAATCAAGTCTTTTTAGGTCTACCTCTACCTTTCTTAACATAAGTCAAATCTAATACATCTACTTTTCTAACCGGGTCATCAGAAGGTCTCCTTTTTCTGTGACCAAATCATCTAAGACGACTCTCTCTAATATTATCTTCCACTGGAGCTACTCTAACCTTTTCACGTATATGCTCATTTCTAAAACATTTTGCATCATAAAGCATTGTTGGTCTCATCACCATCTTATAGAATTTTCCCTCAAGTTTGAGGGAGACCTTTCTATCACACAATAAACCCGATGAATTCCTCCACTTCAACCATCCAATTTGAATTCTACTAATGATATCCCCATCTATTTTGCCATCACTCTGAACAATAGACCCAAAATATCTAAAACGTGTACTCTGATTAATAACTTGATCACCCAAAGTCACAATCCCCTCACTAGAATTATTATTACTATAATTACACTCCATATATTGAGTTTTAGATCTACTCAAATGAAAGCCTTTAGACTCTAAGGTTGACCTCCATAATTCAAGTTTACCTTCAACTCCCTCTCTAGTCTTATCAACAAGAAGAATATCACTAGCAAAAAACATACACCAGGGTGCAACTTCTTGCAAATGTCTAGTGACAACATCCCTGACTAAAGCAAAAACATATGGGCTTAAGGCTGATCCTTATTGTAATCCAACTGAATTTAAAAAATACTTGGTCAAACCACCTTGTGTTTGAACACAAGTAACAACTCCAACATACATATCCTTAATGACTTGAACATAAGCATTACTAACTCTTTTCTTTTCTAGAATTCAATAATTACTATCCATAACATTTTTCTGTGCCAATTTGTGAGATACATATGCAATGCTGAAAATCTATCATTCTTTCCATCCGTTGCAGCACTCAAAGCACATCATCGAATTATCTACCGTTAGAGCTTGCAGAGGCTATTACTTTTACTGATAGATTCCAGGTATGCTAGGAAATTCAGCCTGCCCTATTCTTGGTTTTCTTTTTACCTGAACTAATTACCCCTTAATCTGGATATTGACATTTTTCTATCCCTGAATTGGGGAATGCCATTACAAATTTGATTTATGAAAACAACATCTAAGCTTGAAGATTAGTGTTTAGAGCCATGTTATAAGCTGTACTTAGAATGTGATACCGTAAACAAGGGCTATTTTTGTAAATTTTCTGCTCAAACATGGTGAATTTCCTTTGCTGAAACATTATTTGTATATCTGTAAATTTAATGGTTTTATATCCTCTTCTTATGTTATCAAGTTGCTTCCTCATTGGATTTCCATGACTTTTGCAGGTTGATACTTTTTTGCGATCTATGCAAAAGCAAATTAGTTCTACCGGAAGACGAGGGTTTTTCTCTAAGAAGTCTTCAGAGCTATCAGTTCGTGAGGACTTCAAATTGGAAGACCTGTTGTGCTTTCAAAAGGTTGTGACTCTATTGTTTCATGATCTGTTATAGCTTAGGATCTATTTTGTTGGTACTGTCATTGTTTGCATAACCAAGTACTAAGAGTATTTATTTATCTACTTCTTTTTTCCTCCCTAATTGTTAGATTGCATATGCATTAACTACACAAATCTTAAGTTGAAAGAAGTAAATTCTTATTTAAATCTAATAAAATTAGGTTATTTTTACTTCTACCTTAATATTTTTAGGTCTACCTCTTCCTTTCTTAATATAGGCTGAATCTAATACATCTACTCTCCTAATTGGGTCATCGAAAGACCCACGTTTTATGCGACCAAACCATCTTAGACGACTCTCTCTATTCTTATCTACCACTAGAGCTACTTGAACGTTTTCACGTATATACTTATTTTACATTCTGTCTCTAAGTGTACAACCACTCATCCACCTGAGCATCCTCATCTCTGCAAGCCAATATTATGTGCAATAAAGCATTGCATGTCTCACCACCATCTTATAAAAAATTCCCTTAAGTTTGAGGGGTACTTTTCTATCACACAAGAAGCCCAATGCATTCCTCCACTTCAACCATCCAACTTGAATTATACTAATAATATCCCAATCTATTTAACCATTGCTTTGAACAATGGACACAAGATACCGGAAATGTGTATTCTTTTTAATGACTAGATCACTCAATGTCATAATCACACCATTAGATTTATTACTACTAAAATTATACTCCATGAATTTGGTTTTATATCCAATCAAATGTAAACCTTTAGACTTTTAAGGTTGACCTCCATAATTCAAGTTTTCATCAACTCTCTCTCGTCTTATGATTATAGATGCTGTGGTTAATTTTAAAACTTTTGGTTATAAATGATGGTATCAAATTAATTACAAGTTTTGTAATGTGCAATAATACATTCAACATGGGTTGCAAATCAGGTTTGTAAGCTACAATCAAATTAAAGTTTTATTGCATCTTAGCTCGTATTTAATTTTTAGATCTTTTCACATTTTTGAAGGGTTATAAAGAACTTATGGAAAGAGTATTACTTGCTTTGAGGCAAGCTTGTCCTTCATGGTGTCCTAAAATTCAATGACATGAACATTCAACCTTTGAGATGAAATAACACATCATTATATTAAAAAATCTAAGTTCTTTTTTCATAGATTTTATGATTCTCTTAATGTTTGGTTAAGAGGAAGAGCAGTTAATTTGATTTGAATTAAGAAAATTTGCATATGGGTTTCTCATACGGCTTGAAGAAATTCACCTAATTAGGTTAAGGTGAATTTCAAAATAAATGCTCTTAAAAAAAGACTTGAATATTTTGGTTTTAATTTTAAAATGAATGATATGATCACTTATTTGGGCTAAGTGATGAAAATCTACAAGTTTGAGTTTAGATAAGGAAATCACCTACTTGATTGGGTCAAATAAGTGATCATTGATTTTGAAGTTATGAAGGAAGCAAGATACTAGATTAATTAGGTCAAGCAAGTGAGCCAATGGTTTTGAGGCCAAAGAAAGGAGATCTCCTATTTGATTTGAGTCAAATATGAGAACTAAGGCATATGGAGAGCTTAAGGGTTATTTCCTTTATTGAGTCAAACAAATGAATGAAATAATATGAACCCATAGTATTGGAGCTAAAGAGACAAGACAGTTGTGTGATTTTGTGTGACATGACAAAGTTATGCTTTTTATTTGAATTGGGTTCAAACAGATGCGACAAAATTGAATATTTTGATTTCTAATTTTATGTTGAAATCAAAGAGTGTATCCTAGAAATTTGAAGTTTTAAGAATGAGTTTCACTTGTTTAATCAGGGTAAAATAAATGACAATTGTTAGACTTGACATTCTATGCAACATATTGGAATCATATATTGACTTCAGGCTTAAAATCCTATGAAACATATTAAAATCAGTTATTGACTTTGAGGTCAAAGAAATGATGGAGAATATTTCCATATTTTTGCTCTAGAATATAATAATGTTATTTCATAATCCTATAGAAGCCATTTAGGAACCTCTATGTAGGATTTAGAAAGTTCATTACGCAAAATAACATATATAGGAGAGATTTGGATTTGCTTTGGCTCAATCCTAATTAAGGCAAATTTAAGGCTTGCTTAAATTTATAAGGGTACTTAATAAATGCTAAGGTCCTTTGAAAGTCATTAAAAGATCTTAGTGGATCCCTCTATAGAGTTATAAAAATAGTAAACAAGGTGAATTCTTTTGGAGAACTCAATTTGGATTTGATTTTCACAACTTAAGTAACTTTAAACTTTGTTTAAAGTTAAGAGAAGACTCCAAATGAATTCTAGAAAATAGAATATTACTTGAGTAATTTGAGTTAATCAAGTAAAGAAAGTTAGGATTTGAGTCATAGGGAGAGCAGGATCACTTGCTTGTTTTTGAGCAAGCAAAGGGATTCTTGGGATTTGGTCGTAAGGAATATTTAGGTTTTTTGGATTCATTGAAAAGCAGTAAGAAGCTTCACTATGAAGTTAGAGAAAACCAAAGTAAGAAAAATTTGATCAAGGGTAAGAGAGGTTTCCAAATCCGCAAATGGATTGAAAGAATGATATCTGACTTGGTTGATTGAGATAACCAAGGAAGTTAAACAACAATTTGGGTCCTGAGAATTATCGTTGCTCTCTTGAACACATAAGAGATTATTTGGAAACCGTTATCCAGTTAAAGAAGGCTCCAAATATGAGTTTTTTTAATGAGATGATTCAAGTTAAATTTGGTTTAATTTAAATCAAAGAGATCCTAAGATTTATCTAAAGTTGAATTTGTTCCAAAGGAAATACCACAATCTATATAGCAAACTGCTTGAAGTTTTAGAAAACTTCAAAGCATTGCCTATGAAGAGAGAAAAAATCATTGCTCCAAGAAACTATTTCCTTTGCTTTTCTCTTTGTGTGATTCTAACATGAGAATAAAAGAAACACACTCAACCCTTTTTTTTATTGTCAGTCAAAATCGCCCAAATTTCTTGTTTTCTCTCAACTAAACTCCTTGCTCCTATGCCCCTGTCACCTCTTATGTGCCCAACTTGAGAAAGAGAAGAAAATGATAAAGCTCCCTCCTCCTTCCTACGGGATTATCAATCCCCATCCCTCATTGAATCTCCATCTTGCCCTCATGTTGTTAATGACAAATGGCTAAGATGCCATTGCATTATCCTTGTTGAGTTGGATGTCACACCCAAATATTGGAACTAGAGGTTTGGCCAAACTCCTTGGGCATGACAAGTCGAGTGGAGGCGAAAGAGTCCTCCATAACCATTCTGAGATGGGGACATTGGAAGGTTCTGGAAGACTCTAGAAGACTCTAGAAGGTTATAGAAAATTCTAGAAGGCTTTGGAAGATTCTAGAAGATTTTGGAAGGTTTTGGAATGTTCTAGAAAGACCTAGAGCTTCCTAGAAGATTCTAGACTACTCTAGAATGTTCTAGAATGGTGTGGATACTTAGAGAGTATTCTAGGATACTCTAGAACTCTAGAATATTATGGATATATGTAAGAAGTGTAGGGAATGGTGTGGAGTATTCTAGAGAACTCCACACTCAATTATAATTGAGGGAATTCTAGAATGTTCTTAGGCATGGGAGGAATATTATAAATAGGACCCTCTTCCTTCATTTGTAACAATCTCCACACACCATTCCAATTCTTCGCTCGTATAACCTCACTTGTAATAGCAAAAGCTTACTCATTCAATTCCACTCCTTCTAGCCAAATTGTGTGGGTTTAAGGCTGCTTAACATAAGGAAGGAGTGCTAAAGTTGCATGAGTGATTGAAGAAAAGTTTTTCCCGGTGACAAGTGGTATTAGAGCCATTCAATCCCAGGGAGAAGCACAAGCCAAGTGAAGGCAAGGATGGTAAGGGAAGCGTGGAGTCATCAAGGGGAAGCCAAGGAATGGATGAGTAGTGGGATCTAGCATCCAAGCCATGGCGGAAGTCCAAAGAGAGGATCTTTAGTTTCGGTTCACATTTTCCTCAACGGATAGAGGCTGCGAATTGCATGGGGGACCAGATGGATGACAAGGGTGAAGATGGGAGTTGCCTAGTGGAATGGGGATCCACCATCCATGCTGTGAGAAGAGGCATGGAGTCTCGATTGGAGGAATCTTTGATGGACAAGGCATAGGTGCATGGAGAGCTTAAGAGAGAGCTCAATGGGACACTAGCTTGAGTTGGGGACCTACATGAGGATTGTAGGTATACCTTGGCAAAGAATTCCACCACTAGCCGTGGACGCTTTGTTTGCGAAGGACCTCATTGGACAAGGCATTGTCCTCAGATGGCTCCAAAGCTCCTCGCAAAATGCCAAGGAGTGATATAGGGCAAGGATGGTGATAGGGTCATACAGGTGGAGGCAACACAAGTGGTGCAAGCAAGGACCAGAGGAAGGCAACTTCAAGGGCGAGGAGTTGCAGGTTATGGAAGACACTCCAAGAGATGAGGATGACAATCTAACTCATGGGGATGAGTTAGAAGCTAACGTTGAAGACTTGCTAATAGAGGTGATGAAAGTATTCGATGTACCTACAAATGTCTTGCCAGTGGTGCAGCCTGAGGTGGAGCCAAAGCACCAAGGGAGATCCCTAGTCCTTGATGCTCCAACAGACGACAAGGAGGCCGACTTAGGGGAGAAGGTCAAGGCCCAAGGGAGCCATAGATACAGGATGGACCTGTGGCGATCCTAGGACCTTCATCATGGCTTCAAGCAGGCTTGCGATGAGGGCATAAAGAAAATAGGTGGGGGAGAGTGTTTCGCCCAAATATTGGAACTAGAGGTTTGGCAAAACCCTTTTGGCATGACATGCTGAGTTGAGGCCAAGGAGTCCTCTAAAACCTTTCTGAGATGGTGTCACATGACATTAGAAGGTTCTTTTGGAAGACTCTAGACGACTCTAGAAGGTTCTAGAATATTCTAGAATGTTCTAGACTATTGTAGAAGGCTCTGAAAGATTGTAGAATATTTTGGAAGGTTATGGAATGTTCTAGAAAGAACTAGAGTTTTTTAGAAACCTTAATTTGAGTACAAGCTAGATCAAAAAGATCAGATTGAAACCTATTTGGCTTGATTAAGCTTATCTGGACTTATTTGGTTTAATTTGATTCAAATTGGTTGATTTAAGTGGATTGGATGTATCGTTTGAATCAAATTGAGTTGATTGATTTGATTTGGCACAACTTCAACTAAATACACTTCAATTAAATCAAATTTGACTTGATGTGAGTCAATTACATCAAATTCAACTTTATTCAACTTAATTGAATGAATTAGTTCAATTTCGCTAATTCGAGTTGGCTCGATCCCAAAAAATTGAGTCAACAGTAGTTTGAGAATAGTTGTAACTATAAAATACAAATTACATTTTCTTTTCCTATTCAATATAGATGCAAGGATCAGATTTGCATTGAAATGATGGAATCTTCATTTTGATATTACCCAAATTATTGTCCTCCCTATTTCTAGCTATTATAACCATGCCATAACTCCTAGGATTTCCTACAAAATTTTGGCCTTTTTCCTCTTTCAAACCCATTCAAAAACACTTATCATTTTAAAAGCTTTATGGAATCACCCGAACCATGGTCTTTCTCACTTTAGCCAAGAGTAGACAAATTTTTTGAAAACAACCAACACTCTCCTTTTTAAGCCTTTTCCTGGCACTTAAATATGCATTCCAACATATTACAAGTAAAAAACAAAATACCTAAAATACTCTGCAATTTTGGTTATTGCTAGGAAAGACAAAACCCAGACAAATATGCCTGTTTATAGTAGAATTCCTAATCCAAAAATGAGTTCGAAACTTAGAAATTGCAGTTTCTTATAAAACATAAATTGGACAATTTAGTCTAAGACTTGAATAAGCGATGTCCAGCCTTGAATAACACCTTTCATGGTACTCCTTGAATTGGCTTGATCTCAAGTAGCTTGAACCAACCCATAAAGTTCCTCTTTGAATTTCCTTGAATAAACTTGAGTCATCGATCCAATGGAAAATTGAATTTGGCTACGAACAAGTCTTAAATTTAATATCTAGCTCCGTACTATTATTTACCCATCAATCATTCCCCTTGATTTCTCTTCTTCTTGTCGCTCACTAAGATCCAATCTCCCTCAGTCTTTATCTCCCTCTCTTTCTCTTTCTCTTTCTCTATGATTTACCCACTTGTTCTCTGTCTCTCACCCTCGTCTTTTCTTTATTTATTTCACTCCATCTTTTTGCTCTCCATCCCGTGTTTCCTTTCCCCGTGGTTTGGTTGCTTGCTCTCTATCTCTTCTTCTAGATTCTCCCACTCTTCTACTTTTCTATCACTTGATCTCTCAATCTTATTGCCTTCCTCTCCGTCTATCACTCTCTATCTCACTTTTTTTTCCTCTTCGTGTCTCACTCTCTCCTCTTTTATTTAATTGTAAAATCAATCAAAGGCTTTATTTTATTTCATTTTTTTTTCATAAAATAGGATTTTGTTAGCTCTATCCACTTACAAAATTTTCGTCCTTTAAAATTTGCATAATTTTATGATATTTTGGGTCTTGTTAGTCTTGATCATTAAATATTAAGAAGATTCGACTTCTTAGAGCTACTTTTCCATTTCTTCTTTCTCCACCCTTTGAATTATTCCCCACCATTTCTCCTTCACAATAGTAATCCTTGGAGTGGCCTTGCTTGTCAAGCATCTATATAACTTATGTAGGAGCTATATCCGGTGTCAATAGATAATAGTTCAAATCATACAAATCTTTTATCTCTATTTATAAGAAGTTAGCTTTTTTTGGTTAGAAAATGATGAAATTATTAATTGAAGAGACTTTGAAAACAACGGGACTGATTGCAGAACTCATATGTTATCCGTTCCAAGCATAGATTCTGTAACTACTGAAGGGATACTGATTTACAGAATTTTAAGGCTATGGAGTTAGTAACTTCTTGAATTGCTGGCTTTGCTAAATGTAAAATCTAAAGCTTTTGCATTTGATGTGTAGATTTGGTAAGAAGTGGAACAGAAAGGAGTTAATGATAAACCTAATTATTAGACATCAAATTTTAGAGAAAAATAATGGAGTGTTTTTATTTTGTAAGTTAAACATTTTTCTTGTACTCACAGATGGAGCTTGCTTTAGCATGATTTCTTAATATTTAACATCAGAAAAGAAACTTGTAAGGATAAATATGATGATTAGGCATCAACATTTCAAGAAAAATGGATAGTTTTTAATTTATAAGATTGACATTTTTTTGTACTCATACGTGGAACTCTCTACTGCGTGTACCCTGGTGCAATTAGGCATATGAAATCCACTTGAAGTATCTACTGTAGAATGTAGAAGTATAGATTTGAGGCCCTTCATGTGAAATCTGAATTAAACAACTACATATGACCAAGTTAAGCATAATTTACAGTGCCACCACCAAATTATTTAGAAATAGATTCTCTTGGCCAACTTAACGCATTGTTCCCCAAAAAGCGTGGCCTATGTTATAAATGACTGCAGAAAGCTTTCTTCCGGAAACAATACTAAAGACAGAAAACTGGCCTACATGCGCAGCCACCCACTAGTAGTTTCTAGTCTGTTGTCGTCTCCTTCCCTCTCTTCCACATACAACTCCAAAATCTGTAAGCTATAATAAATCATCTGATTTGAAGTCTCTATAGGTGAACTAAAACTGTGAACATATTCAAAATTTTCCTGGAAGCATCAATCGCCTACTTATGGCAATCTTCGGCTGCAATGCAGTTCTGCCAAATTATGATAAACTATTGAACTGAGAAAAAGGAATTATGTGGAGCAAATAAACTCAAGATTACATGTTCCTTTGAGATGAAAAGGTACGATCTAACCTTAGTTGCATGATGGGCTAGTAAAGATGAGAGAATTGAAGGAACTCCTCAAGGAAAGCATTTTAGGCTATGAACCTCACTCTTTGTAAAATTGTTAAGTGAATAACCAAGATGAAGGAATCGTGAATGCTATGAATGAGTGGTTATGATTCATTAAAGAATAAAAAATTATTAATTGGGCATATCAATACAGGCAAACCTCTCAAAAGGCAATAATTTCCATTGTTGCATTGTCTGCATGACCTCGCTGTTCATCAGTAAAGGCATAAAAGTACCAAAAGTCATTTTAATTCCCATAATTATATAGTCATGTTGTTTTTACTGTTATTTTGCAGGATCCTATTCCAACTTCCTTGCTCAAGATCAATGGTGATCTCGTGAAGCATTCAGTTAAAATGTTCAAGTTGATTCTGAAGTACATGGGTGTTGATTCATCAGATAATGGAACATTGTTGGGTTTGAATGGGAAAATTGATCTTGCTACGAAGCTTTACAAGAAAACCTTAAAGCATTCTGTGCTTTGTGATGAGCTTTTTGCACAGATTTTCAAACAAACACGCAACAACCCAAATAGGTACTTAAGCAAATTCATGGAAACTACAATGATTGATTTAGCCTCATATTTATTACCATAACTATATGCCACTTTGTAGGAGTTGTTTGTTAAGAGCATGGGAACTCATGTACTTATGTGCATCTTCCATTTCTCCGAGTAAGGATTTTGGGGCATATATATTGGAATATGTGCATAAAATGGCTTATGGGGTCAATATGGATTTGGATCCAGAGGTTCATGCCCTTGCACTGAAAACATTGAATTCTTTGAAGCGTTCTCTAAAGGCTGGGCCACGACTTACTTTTCCCGCACGTCATGAGATAGAAGCTCTTTTGACTGGTAAAAAGCTCAAAACAATGGTATTTTTCCCGGATGAAACTTTTGAAGAAATTATGTATGACATGTCAACAATGGTTTCTGATGCCATCCAGGTACTAAATAAGATCTTTTTTCTCCTTTTTTCCTTGCAAAGTACATTACTTATTTTGCTTGTTTACAGCCTTCTATAACATCAGCATTGTACTGTTTTAATGTAATAAGCATTCTTTGTCTAATGCAGATTAACAACAAAAGAATGAGTTTCCCAAAATAGTTACTATCGACATCACAATATTATTATTTTTAATTTGAAAGATTTTTTTTGCATATTTTCATTATTTATTTGATTAATTTCAATTTTAAGGAATTTTAGTACAATTAAGGGCTAATTTATGTTTAATGATAAGTATTTGTATGTGATAGATCCTTGTTTTAGAATTAAGTTTAAATATTATTTTATAAATAGTGGATGAAGTGTGTTTCAACTTTTGGAGCCAACCTTTATCAAAGTGAAAAGTGAGTTCCATTACAAGGACTCAGATGATCATTTATGTTATAGAAAAAGTAATAGTATTATTAATAAAATAAAAATTATTTCATCTAATGATGGATAAATAAAGTCATTATAATGGTGCATTAGGCTAATTGGTCGCAAATTGTTTATTTAGAAAATAGTTATGCTAATTAATTAGGTTTTAACTGATACGTAAATATTACAACCGGTTTGCTAAATTATAAAAGTTAATTAGTTAACTAGAAATTAAAGTATTCATTAACTGCATTATTTTGGTATTTAGTAGGCAAATAAGTCATTAATTGATGATTAGGATTAACTAGTGAATCAATTAGGATAATTAGGCTATAATTAGTTATTAAACAATAATTAGAATATAAACAATTTAATTAGTTATCATCTCATATGCCTTTTCTCAACTCAATTAGTCCTATATGGTTAATAAAAATCCTTGAAGTCCAGTTAAATGTGTAAAGTAACTATGATTATTTATGAAGTACTCATTAATTAGTCTATTTAGGTATTACTTGATTACCATAATAAAGTAATCTAGTTATTAATATCATGGTTTAAAATTGCGCAATATGAGGCTCGCCTTGAGGCCCGCCTTTGTGCAATTCCAGTAAAAAACGCCTCGATGCTTACACCTCGAGTTTTTTTTATGAGGCTTGCACCTCAACTTGGTTGAGGACCGCCTTTAGGCCCGCCTCGCCTCACTGGCATGAGGCTTACGCCTCACGCTATAAATATTAAAACTTACATAAATCTTGAAGTAAATGCCCGACATTGGACTCTATAGGAGAAGAGGAAGGGGAGAGAGCAGTTCATCATAATGATGATTCAAATGAAGAATCCTTAGTGATGACACTGTTGATGACTCATGAGTTCTTATGTGATATGTCATTGCTATTTATGTTTGGAAATTGAAATTATATGTTAATGAAAAGAATACTGAGATTTGGGAAAGAATTTTGAGTTGAACTATATTTCATGTTGACTTATTATTGAGATATTTTGATTTCACTTTATATGTTATGTTTTTTTATGTTTTATATTATTCACTCATTAGTATATAAAAAAATTATCATTTTATATTTACGCAATCTTTTGATTTTGAGGCTTACGCCTCAAAACGTCTTGAGGCTTACGCCTCGCCTTACGAATGAAAAATGCCTCAATACTCGAATACGCAATTTTAAACATTGATTAATATAATGATTAATTAATCAATTATTTAGTGCAGTCGCAAACTAAGTATGCTAATTAATTGCTAATTACTCATTAGCATGATAATTATCTACTTAGTATTAATATAATTAAGTATGCATTAATTAATTATTTTGATATGAAGTTTTCTTATTAATGAGGCTTTTGAATGTGAACTTTGAAACTTTGCACTACTCTACTGATAGAGTTTAAGTGTATTTTTGTCAAATTTTTAGAAAATAGATTAAATTGAAAATAAGAAACAGCTTAGACATTTTGCCCTCATTTCATGAGGAATTTAAGATATGATTTTAGGTTTCATATAAGCACACGTCCATATGATTAATTACCCATTTCGATGAGGAGAAATAACTTTTGACTAAGATTACTCATTGAAGCTAAATGCTGAGTGTATTTTTGTATAGTTGAAAATTTACCTTTTCAAAATTAAAGTAGTTATTGGGGGAATGATGGTGAAATTGATTAAGATCCTATGGTTCTTTTGTTTTGAGTTGTCATGGATCTTGATATGTTTAGTCAGCTAATGTCACAACCCGGTCCGAGAAGCTCATATAGGCGAGGCAGTAACGAAAGTCAGACAGTAGAATTTAAAAACATTCACATTTCATAATAAAAACATCTTCAAATATATAGAAAGAGCCACTAAAATATTCCAAGTAAAAATTTTTTTTCTTTTCATTTATCATTCAATATATCAACTTAAACGTAGAAGTTCAAAACATAAAAAGATATCCATAAATCTTCCTTTTACAAGTCATCCTGAATCCGTCTAACTCAAAATGTCAAAAACCAAATGGAAGGAATCTGTCGTCCGTCGTCTCCCTACGACGGTATGTATAGGGTGGTCTATCTGTCATTATCGCTTTTCAGGTTCTCCTGAAAAAATATTCTATATGTTGAGTGAGTCACAACTCAGTAGATAAAATGACATTGAATTAAATTTTGAGGCAAGAAAATGAGTATAACATGCATATATTTCTAAGTAAAGAATCATTTAATATGCCATAATACATCATCTAAAGCAAAAATACCTCTAATTCAATCTTTATGTTCTCTTTTTTTTGCATAAGCTTGCAATCCATTCTTATTAAGCATTCATGATTCATGTAATGTTTCTTATACATATAATATAATGACATGATATCATAATAATATAATATTAATCAACCGTAGCGGAAGTATCATTTATTTTGTAATGATCAGGTACACTTTTAATTGGCCATTCCTTTATCATTTTGTTCCAAAGAACCCCTTTACCATTTGGCTCAAAAGAGCCCCTTTACTATTGGCTCAAAAGAGCTTCTTTATCATTGATACTCCGCATCAAACATGTACATGCAAACATTCTTTATTTATTCATAAAAGAGACTTTAACATATCATTCATGCGTATGGTCTAATATTTTCATATGTGGTTACATAATTGCATAATTCATAAGAAAAGAGATATGATCACATATATACTACATGTAAAAGAAGACATGCATTACATATAAAAGAGATATAATCTTTACACTTTCTACCATTATTACATTAGAGATTTGCATTTGTATCATGTGTTTAAAAGCATTCATGTAAGAACATGCTAAGCCACATATAAAAGTACAAGTTGCATTTAAAAAATAACTTTCTACATGATTGCATTTAAAGGATTTTCTAAATTTAAAAGAATTTTATTTTACCTACCTCACCATTGTGTGATTTGCTGAATGTCCTAACGAACTATTCCTTTTACACGATTAATGTCTAAAAGAAACATGGCATCATGCGTAAATATCACTTGTTTCCACATTAACATCTCAAAACCCTAATCTATGAGTATAAAGGGATTTCATGAAAGGGCTGCTAGAAATAATTCTAACCAATTTGAATGCACAAATGTAAGAATCCAAAACATTTTAATCCGTATTACATGATAAATAGGAGAAAGAAAATAGTTTAGCCAATATAGAAAGAAAAATAATATATTTTAATCCACACACAAGCTGTATCCCAGATGCCACCGACACTTGAAAGGTTTCTCAGAAAATAGTTTAGCCAAGAGAGATCACGCAAGGAAATAGTTTAGCCAGGTGGTTGCAGCTTTTCGTCACCGACAGGAGAGATCACGAGAGATTCGGCAGAGGATAGGTGAAAATTCAAAGCTGATGTCCTCCGCGCGAAATGCCATTTCCTGTGGATGGAGCGGACGGTTGCGCTCCGGATGTTGGATAGGAACTGAGTATAGATAAAGTCTGCCTTGACATCTTTGATGTAAATGATGATTTAGTAAGCATTCACCTCTGTTTTACCATGTTGGGTTTCTCTAATTGATGTAGCTAATTGTGTTGGATTTTTTAGGGGAGAAAGAAGATCGACGGGAGGTGCGGGAACGCGCCGATGGCGCTGGATGAGGAGATCGAGGAGATACTGGCAAAGTTGGAGGAGATCCATAGAGGGTTTCGATGGACAAAAGGGAAGGTCGGTCGGAGAGAGCATTGAAGTGGAGGGAGAGGGTTTGGAGGTCTGAGAGGTTACCTAGCGTTCTGGCAGGAATTTAGCCAATGAGACTGGAGGCAGCGAGGTGGAGGGAAGTGACGCGGAGAAGAAGGGCGTGCGCACGATAGAATTTCTAACCCGCTCAATTTGAGCGGGTTTCGATGTCGCAAGAATGTCTGTCTGTAATACATCGCTGATGCCTCGGAGGATTTTTTTATGTTCCGGTCAAAATAAACCAAACGACCTAATTTAAGAAATGCATGCATTTAATTAACTTTACCCTTCTAATTCTGCTTACCAAACAACCCCTAATTTCACCTATAAAACCCTTCCTAAGTTCAATTAGAATAATAATGCTTAAGGGTTTCATGATTAGGGAAAACCCTAATTTTTAAAAACCTAAAATTGCATCATAAAATTAAATTAAATTCCTATAAAAGCTTTTTAATGCCATTAGAAAGCATTCTTACAAAGTCATTTTGAAAGAAAACAAAAATCGGAGAAAACCCTAATTTTTGAAATCTAAAATTTTTAGTGAAACATTTCATTTTTATGCCTAAAGTCATCTCCTTCACCTTCCCTATCATTTTCTTAAAGAGATTTGGAGTTTTCATTAAACCCTAGATTTTTCCCTTAAAGAAATCTTTACAAAAAAAAAAGAGAAATCTCTTAAATACAACTTACCTTAACCTTTTGTTAGTATTCCCTATAATTTTCTCCACGATCGGCCGCCGGAATCCGCCCCTAGAGTCGTCGTTCGCCTCTCCCGCCCGCTCATCCCGTCGTTGTTGTTTCGGCTACACGAAAGAAATGGGGACCAGATGTATTTCGGTCCCCTAATAAGAGTGGGAGCATAGGGTTAAGAGCATAAAGTCTTAAATGCCCCTTTCATGCT